AAACGACCTGCAAGGCCGAAAATTGGGACACACCGAAGCTCGGGAAACTCGGGTCCGGGAAGTGACTGCCAACCACAAGCAAGCTGATCAAATGAGAACACTGCTCCTCATCTGAACACCTGAACTGGTGCAAGTGCAGGAAATCCACCTGAAAACAAGCGAGACTGCAACCCTGGAGGGCAGGAGCCGACACAGACCGGGACTGAGATCCGAGGGCTGCCCGAGCACAGTATCAGCGAGAGGAAGGAAACCCGAGGGCGAGAGCCCTGGGATTGCGGGGAGAGGGTCCGTACTCACCGGAGGGTCCTCACGGTGAGCACGCCCCGGAGGAGCGCTGCACGGTCGGAAGCAGCGCTCGCGTCCAGCCTCCCGGGGAGCAGCGGCAGCGAGGTGTGGGCGCATCTGAAGGCCGCAGGGGGTGCGGGGGGTCCAGTCGGCTTCAGCGCAAGCGCGGTGGCGCGGAGCAAGGCGACCCAGAGCTGCACGCCAGGCCGGCACCGGACGATCGCCCAGCTCCTGCAGCTTCAGTCCTCAGTTCGGCGGCGCGCCGCCCTGACTTCAACTCTCTAGCGGAAATACGCCAGCGACCGAAACCGCTTCCGGCAAATCTAGGAGCCGCCACTCAATGATGCGCGCCAGACAAGCCCGCGGGAAAGCGGAAGTGTGCGCCGAGCAGCCCCCAGGAGCCCCGACCTTCGGTTGCTGCGGGTAGTCGCGCTTGCTGTGCACCTGACTGGTGTGCACTTGTCTCCTTCACCGGCTTGCCCTGGTCCTGCTGGTCCCTCCACCGTGGAGGCTGGGCTGGGCTGTGGCGTTCCTGAGCCCTCTAAGAGTTTGTGGTTTTTTGAGACAAGGTTTCACTGGCTGTCCTGGAATTCGCTCTGTAGACCAGGCTGGCCTCAAATTCAGAGATCCGCCTGCTTCTGCTTCCCAAGGGCTGGGATTAAAGGCATGTGCCACCACACCTGACTTCTCTCTTTTTTACTTTTAAGTATGATAAAGTACAAGTAATAACACAGCTTCATTTTAACCTGTTGAGTGTACCAGTAGTGTATGGGACCTGCAGTTTTGCATTTCGCAACTTGAAAGCGTGTTGTCATGCAAATCAGAAATGTCCCTGCCCAGGGAACTTTTCTCCAGTTCCTCTCCAGCAGCCAGGGCCACCAACATTCCTTGTTTGGAATTTGTCCTAGGACCTTCTCGACCCGATGTTGGCCAGGTTCATTTATGTGGTGGCATGGGTCAGGATTTCCCACCTCATTCTGCTCACTCATTGGTCAATGGACAGTTGGGCCACTGTGATGCTAAATGTAATCCTAAAGATCCAAACTTACTTGTAATTCTAGTTTAGGCAACACTTGATTCCATAAAATAAGATAGTCCCACGAACTGAGCAGCTGTCTGTTTTACAGAGAGGGAAGTTAGGTCTAAGAGAAAGAAAGAAAAAGATTGGTCTTGTCAAAGTTACTTTCTTCCTAAGGCAGAGACAGACAATAGGAAAACAAACAAACAAACAAACAAAAAAACCTGCAGGGACACTGGGTTAGTCCAGGTTGCTTTTCTGTAAGGATTAAAGCAAAGCAAACTCTACTGTCTTGCTCACTGAAACCCACCCTCTCCTGATTTCCCATAAGGCCAGATAACAACCCAGCGTCCTTAGATGCCTGACACTTGAGTATGGTTGACTCCTTTGCTGAGTCTGGTCAGCTAAGGGCCCACCCCAGTATAGTTCAAATTCTAATTGGTCTTAATAATAAAAAACCAGAGCCAGATATCAGGGGTAAATGCTGAAAGATCAGAAAGACAAAAGAGCAAGCCACAGCCACCTCTTCCCTTGCCAACTCCTCAGCCAAAACGGGGGCAGAGCTCCTGTCTCCACCCAGCCATATCAAGTCCTGTTTCCTCCTCCCTAGTGCTGGGATTAAAGGTGTGTGCCACCACCGCCTGGCCTGTATGGTTAACTAGTGGCTAGCTCCACACTCTGGTCTCCAGGCAAGCTTTATATGTTAAGAGCACAAACAAAATATCACCGTAGCCCAGTGCAGGAGCTTACTGCCAAGCAATGGCTTCCCGTGGATTTTGTTGAACAAGGGTGCCATGAACACAGGTGTACATTATCTGTTTGCATTCACTTCTTTGTGCTATGTATTCAGGAAATAGACTTTCTGGGATTTTCTAGATTATGTTAATGCTGTTTGACTTGTTGAGGAATCAACACACTGTCTTTACATCCGATGCACCTGAGCTCTGAGCAGCAGACCCGAGGGGTCCAAACCCGTCATCCTCACCAGCCATGTTAGCTTTCTATTTGGAGTTGTTGCTGGGCTTTTTATTTTGCTTAAACTGTAACCGTCATAATTGATTTACAGTGGTGTGTTGTCATCTTGGTGTTGCACAAAGTAGCACAGAACAAAGCCAAAGTAGTTTGGCAAGGCAATTGCTTGCTACAAGCCGCAAAAATATACAAAGTAGGATTCCAGCTGATTATGACAAAGCTAATACCTGGAAGAGGCTAAGGGCCTTCCAGAGGTCCAGCGGAGGCTCAAGGCGCTTTAGTGATATTTGGCTTTTGATTATCAGCCATTTTCTGCTATGAGTTTCTTGTGTGCTATTGTAGCTTTTCCATCATTTATTGGGCACCATTTCCCCTCCACTAATGGAATATTTAGATAACCTTCTGAGCTGACAGCTGTGCACAGTCAGAAACCCACCAGCTCAAGCCTCCCTGTAATTATCATCATTGGCAGCATCCGGCCAGGTCCATCCCCAGACAGAGGAAAGTACCTTATCAGAGATACCTCTGTACTCTTTCTTTCTTTTTTTTTTTTTTTTTTTTCCTGGAGCTGAGGACTGAACCCAGGGCCTTGCGCTTAGCTAGGCAAGCTCTCTACCACTGATCTAAATCCCCAACCCCACCTCTGTACTCTCTAAGAACAGACTGAAGTGTCCAGACTACCTGTTTGAGAAGGTCTGGCAGATGTGCTAATTAAGTTTAACTTCCTCCTTTCCCAAATCTTACCTCTAGTTCCAGATCTCCCTTTAACTATCACCAGAGGCATCTACCTGTACACAGGTTGCCTAGAGACTGAGCACACTTTCCCCCACCCTGCAGAAAAAATGGCAGATAGCTTGGACAGATAGGAGCCACAGGAAAAAAGAAGGCAGTTTTATTTTCTCCCATTGACTTAGCAACTTATAGATTCTTAACATTTTCTACCAATTACGTTTAAGACTATAGTGAGCACATAAGATCCGTCTTCTTAGATATTACCCGAATTTACCCCTTAGTTAATTCATTTTCCCATTAGTCACTTCCCTTTTGGGTTGCAAATGATAATTAACAATTACTGGCCCTCTTTGTGATTATTATCACCCCTCATTTGACCAGAAGCCTGGCTTTGCACTGCCAAGGGATTACTGCTTGTAAGTGTATATATACCGGGACTCCCAGGACAGGGGAGAGAAGAAGATTTGGAAGAATAAATGACTGGACTAAGAGCTCAGTGTTCTGAGATTCTATTTCCTGAATATAGTCTTCAACGTTCGTAGTTCTCTCTCTTGAGCCCCTGGGATGTAAAATATTAAGGCTGGTCCCTCTAATATTATACAAGAATTGATTTTTGTAAAAAGGGTGCACCAGAACCCAAATCCGACTAGTAAGTGGACTGAGGCAAGAAGTTCCCCTGGTTATTCTAATGCAAGTGGTGACTGTGTCTGTTTTCTATTGGCCTGGATCTGACCTCACAGTCTTTTGCAATTGTCTTGTTTTTAAAGGAATCAGTGCAAAGGAAATAAAGGGAGAATGGATCAGCCACTTCAGGCTGTCAAGTTCCCAGAATGCAGCAGGGTCTTTGTATAAATAAGTTTTACCAGGTAGGAGAAATGAAAAGGTTTGCATAAAAGTTTCACAGGGTGGGTAAGATTGAAGATGAAGGAGAAACCCTCTCTCTCAAAAAAAAAAAAAAAAGAGCCAGGCACAGTGGTGCAGGTCTTTAATTCCAGAATTTGGGAGGTAGACGCAAGTGGATCTTGAATTTGAGGCCAGCCTGTTCTACACAGCAAACTCTTGGACAGCCTAGGCTACACAGTAGAGAGATCTTGTCTGGAAAAAAAAAAGACAACAAATAATAATGAAGGAGACTTAAAGAATATTATCCCTTGGCAGGCAAGCTTTTTTTTTTTTTTTTTTTTGGAGGCAAGGCCTCACTATGCAGTTCTGGTTGGCCTGGAATGTAGACCAGGCTGGCCTCAAACTCACAGAGATCTGCCAACAAGCTATCTTTGATAGAAAACAAACACTTCTCACATGTCATATATATGTAAATTTCCATTTGAATGTTGTGTGTTTTAGTCATCTCCCAATAGCGATGTGTGGAAGGTTTTAGTTTCAAGGTTTAAGGGAGACACTGCAATGGATTAACCTGTAAGTAAAAGATTTATTAGAAATATTAATGCCATAAACAGGCATGCTGCAGCCTCCAAGGGGCTCTGAGGAGCATTCAGGCCTACATGGCAGAGTAGGGGTCCTTTCTTACAGTTTTTAGAAGAAGAGGGTGGGAAGGAGATTAAGTTTCCTTTTTTGGTGGTGGTTGGCCATTGTTAAAGATAGTTGGTGAGTGGTCGGTTCAAGAAGGACAGGTGACTGGCTCATTTCTCTCATGGCCATACAGATTCCCAAGTAGGGGACATAAAGAATCTAGAGAGGGATGGAGACATGGCTCAGAGGTTCAAGAGCACTGGCTGCTCTTCCAGAGGTCCTGAATTCAATTCCCAGCAACCACATGGTGGCTCACAGCTATCCGTAATCAATCTGGCATGTAGACAGAACATTGTATTCATAATAAATAAATAAATCTTAAAAAGAAGAATCTAGAGAAACAAATTATATTACTTCTGGTAACCAAAGAGGGGGTCTCTACAGGTGTCAGACAGAGAAGCAAACCTTTTGAAGAGATGAGAATGGTAACTGACTTCATCAACATAGAGTAAGACTTCAAAAGTCTAATGCAGGCGGTTTATTCCCAAAAAAATTTTAAACAGAGTACAATTTGGAAAAAAAAAAAGTTTCCTGGTATAATACAATCCCTGGTGCACAAGTAAGTATAATTACATTGAAACTCAACTCAGGGTAAATGTCATTTCCTCCAAGAAGATGGGTTTTAGCCAGGTGGTAGTATTGAATACCTTTAATCCCAGTACTTGGGAGGCCAAGGAAAGTGTATCTCTGAGTTCAAGGCCAGCCTGCTGTACAGAGCTAGTTCCAGGACAGCTGGGGATACACAGAGAAACCCTGTCTAGGAAAAAAAAAAAGTTTTAAAATTTATTTAATGTGTATGGGTGTTTTCCCTGCATATATGTCTGTGTACCATGTGCATGGCTTGTGCCCAAGAAGCCAGAAAAGGCTGTCAGAACTAGAGTTACAGATGATTGTGAGCCATTATATGGGTGCTGGGAAATGGACCCCAGGTCCTCTGGCAGAGCAGACAATGCAATTAATCTGAGCCATCTGAGCTCAGTTTCTTTGTTTATTTTGAGACAGGGTTTCTCAGTGTAGCCCTGGCCGTTTTGGAACTCGCTCTGTAGACCAAGGCTGGCCTCCAACTCATAGAGATCCACCTGCCTCTGCCTCCCGAATGTTGGGAATCAAAGGCGAATGTTGGGAATCAAAGGCGTGCACCATCACCGCCCGGCTTCTGTGCTCAGCTTTAGCATGCACACACATACATGCATGGGGGATGAAAAGGGACTTCTGAAATATGTTAGCTTTTCTTTGCTGTGGCAACATATCTGGAGTTGACAGGAAGATTTGTTTATGCTTACAGCTTCAGTCCATGGAGGTTGCTTCACTGCTGTGGGACTGTGGTGAGGCAAAAACATCATTGGTAGCAGGAACAGGTAATGGACGGGGCTGCTCACTTCATGGCAGCCAGGGAGTAGAGAGACAGTAAGAATGGGGGGAGGCATAACCACCCCGCCCCCAGACTGACTTTCTCCAACCCAGCTCCACCTCCTAAGAGCCATTCAGATTACAGGACAGGTGGGAGCCACCCTGCCCAGTTTGGGAAAGTTGTTTTAATTTTTATTTATTACGGGTATGGGTGTTTTGCCTACATGTATCTGTGTACCATGTAGTGGGAATCCTGCTGAGCTCCTGGCTTGGCTCCAGAGAGCAGCACCTAGCCCTAATCCTTCCTTTGGTTAACCACACCTTTTGTTCCTCTTACCTTTTGTTTCTCTTATCACCCTATGTGAATCTTATTTGAGAGTCAAGGATCAGAGAGTCCCCCAAGGATCAAAGGCCTGTGCAAAACTTGGTCCAGGAAACCCGGAAAACCGTGGTACCTGAGAAATCAAGTAATTTGCACCTGGCATTTGGTCTCTGGCAGCTCCTTTTGGGTTGCTTTGAAGGTATGGAAATTAACTATCTAAACTGTAAAAAGGAGTAAATAAATACGCCCTAGGCAAAGGGAAGAGTGCTTCAGTCCTTCGAGGCTGGACCCCCCTGCAGCCATGATAGGCTAGATTCATTCTTCAGATGCCTCTGTGTCTTCTTCATTCCACGGATCCTCGTGAACCCACACACTCGTGTACTGACCACACAGCTACAGTACCACATGCATTTCTGGTGCCCACGGGGGCCAGAAGAGGGCATTGGATCTCCTGGAACTCAAGTTATAGACAGTTGTGAGCTACTAAGTGGGTGCTGGGAATCAAACCCAGGTCCTCTGGAAGAGGACCTGGTGCTCTTAACCACTTAAGCCATCTCCAGCACCTTGGAAAGCTGCTTTGCAAAAAACCTTGTTGGAGGCCCACAAAGGCTTCCTAGTGAGATCTGAGCCTGCTTTACCCAGCAGAGCTGCATTAGAGGATTGCTTGACCACGTGCATGGTTACCAGGTGATTGGAAGGGTCTGCACTTGGCTGAGCTGGGTGGGGAGGGGGAGGTCTTTTGCTCCACCCTTTGGCATTCCTATAAATAGCCCTTTAGAGGAGACAGAAGGGGCCTGTGGATTAGGATCCAGGCCCTCCCGAGGCTGTCCTGTGTTTCTGTTTCTCTCCCCTCTATCCTTCTATCTAAATCTCTTATCCTTCTCTCCTCAAGAGGACCCTGGGGTAATATGTGGGAGCCGGTCTCCCACAAAATTATACAAAGGTTGGGCATGGTGTCCACCTGCCTTTAATTCCAGTGTTCAGAAGGCAGAGGCAGGTGGATCTCTGTGGGTTTTTTTGTTGTTGTTTGTTTTTATTTTGTTTTTTTGAGACAGGATTTCTCTGTGTAGCTTTGGAGCCCGTCCTGGAACTTGCTTTGTAGACCAGGCTGGCCTTGAACTCACTGAGATCCACCTGCCTCTGCCTCTTGAGTGCTGGGACTAAAGGTGTGTGCCACCACTGCCGCCCAGGCATCTCTGTGGGTTTAAGTCCAATCTAGTGTACATTGTCAGGTCCATGCCAGCCAGGGCTGCAGAATGAGACTGTCAAAAAGGGACAATAAATAAACAAACAAATAAATAAGTAAATAAACAAACACTAAAACTATTCAAGTTGGGCATGGTAGCCCATACCTATAATATAATCTCAGCACCTGCAAGGCTAACATAGGAATATCACTTACCACCAGCTGAGCTACATAGTTGTACCATCTGAAAACACGAAACAAATCAAAACAACAAAACAGAGTCCAGAATGGACAATGCTAAGTGTTGGCAAGGACAGGAGCAACAGGAGCACCCACATGCTGGCAGGAACATGGCACAGCACAGCGAAGAGCACTGTGCAGCAGCAACCTCTTATAGCTAGACAAGTACTCACTCCCACAGACTGAACACATGCACCCGACGTTGAAATCCTAATCTCCAAAGTGATGGTGTCCAAAGGTGGGGCTTTGGGAAGTGACTGAACTGTAAGTACAAGCTTCATAACTGGGACGTCTGCCCTTAGAAGAGGCTTGAGAAATCTCCCTAACTCCCTTCTGCTATGCTAGGCTGCAAGGAGAAGGCGCCCACCCATGAATGTCTCACTAGACCTTGGGTCCCTCAGACTCCAATACTTTGTGAAATACATTCCTCCTGTCCATAAGTTGACATTATTTTGTTATAGTCACCTGAGGTTGAGATGCTTATAACCTGTAATAAAAGTTGTATTTACCTGAAATAAACACGCATGTGCACATGAATGCTTTTACACAAATGATCGTGGCAGTTTATTCTTGAGCGTCCACACTGGAAACCCAATTTCCATAAGCGAGTAGACCAGTGAGGGCAGGATGGCCTACCCATACAACGGGACCCTACTTGGCCAAGAGAACTACTAACGCAAAGCTACTTGACGAGTCTAAAAACACTCTGGTCACATGCCAAAGTGACCCAAGTCAGACACAAGGGCACCTACCTCACCAGTCCACGTGTAGGTAGTTCTAGGACACGCGAGGCAATTCTACACTCACAGGAAGTGGCAACCAGGGCAGGGTTGGATTGACTCTGGAAAGGGCAAAGGGGACTTTTTTGAGGTAAAAGAAATGTTACTTTTCTTGAATGAGGTATTGCTACAAGGGGCAAAGGAAATTCCAAACAGTATGAAGTCGAGACTGTACTGTACTGACTGAAATGGTCTGATAACGTGTGTCTGCTGGCTATGTCATGAGATAATGAGTTTTCCAGAAAATGTGCATCATGTCCTTTTTTTTTTTTTTTTGGTTTTTCAAGACAGGGTTTCTCTGTGTAGCTTTGTGCCTTTCCTGGAACTCACTTTGGAGACCAGGCTGGCCTCGAACTCACAGAGATCTGCCTGGCTCTGCCTCCCGAGTGCTGGGATTAAAGGCGTGCACCACCACCGCCCAGCGCATCATGTCCTGTAGCTAGAGTTTTCCTGCCTGGCCCACAGTCAGGACAAATCTCTCTCACCCGCAAGTCCCACAGCCATTCAGACCCGACCAAGTAAACACAGAGACTTATATTGGTTACAAACTATATGGCCGTGGCAGGCTTCTTGCTAACTGTTCTTACAGCTTAAATTAATCTATTTCCATTAATCCACATGGCTCATGACTTACCGGCATCTTTACATGCTGTTCCTCATCATGGCCGCTGGCAGTGTCTCTCTGACTCAGCCTTCCACTTCCCAGCTCTATTTTCCTCCTTGTCCTGCCTATACTTCCTGCCTGGCCACGGGCCAATCAGTGATTTATTTATTGACCAATCAACAACACATTTGACATACAGACCATCCCACAGCAATGTCCTTTTTAAATTATCTGCCTAGTTGAAGCTTCTAGGGTTGCTGGGATTTGTTCAAAACTCAAAATTGCCCTCTGGGACAAAAATTATCTTCATATTGTCTCAAAACTAGTTGTTGTGGTTAATGCTCTTCCCAAAGGAATCCAGAGGCAGAAACGAGCACATTTGCTGGCTGGAATCCACTGTGGACTAACCCTGAGGAGCAGGGCAACCTGTGCTCTGCCTGTCTGTGGAGACACCATCCCAAATTCCTGCTCTCAAGCTGAAAGATGTCCATTGACTTCTCTGGACCAGTTAAAACTTCAAGTCCGCGATGGAGCCTTCCTAGATCTACAGTGCCATTAGTCACCTCCTTGGTAGAGCTCTTACAAGGACCGGTGCCCACTTCACTCACGGTTCTGGGATCTCTCTGGCTTCCCCAGCACCTGACACAGGATGCATGGCACCTTCTTACTCTCATTTTTCAAATATCCAAAACTATTCCTCACAGACCTTAATACATCTTCACATAAGTGGCGTTAGAAAGAGACAGTTGAGCCTGGAGCTACTAAAATAGAAAAAAAGTGATGTAGGCATGAGGGCACCACCCTGAAAGTACAGTGGACAGCTCTGAATGAGGACCGTGCCACCCCTGGTGGGCAGTAACTGCAGACAGGAGACTGTCGGCAACTCTTAACAAGAGCAGGTATCAACAGGACTTGGGGAGACAGCACTTCCTAGTAGAGCAGACCACACTGATGACAAAAAAGAACACCCCAAAATTTAAAAACAGCAATATAGAACGGTAGCAAGGTGTGGTAGCACACATCTATCATCCCCGCACTCAGGAGGCTGAGGGCGGGCTGTGAGTTTGAGACCAGCCTAGGCCACATGGTAGAACCTGTCTCAAAAAACAGAGAAGATAAAGGATATGCTGATTACACAGATTTGGGTTTTTGTTTTGTTTATTGTCATGTGCTAGACACTAGGGACACAGGAATCAATGACACATGATCACTGTCCTCGGGGAACAGAGCACAATGAAAAAGAGAGACTTCAAAATTGTGGTACTTAAAAGCAAGTACAGTAGCAGAGGTTAGCACTGAGCAACGGACGCACAAGACACAAACCCAGCTCGGTACTAAGGAAGCATTCTGGGGCACGGTGCCTGAGAGAGGTCTCACATAATAGTCAGGAGCAACTGGGAGAAAGCCGGAGAGCCATCAGGAACAGGAGTGGGAGCAGCCTGAAGGATGTGGGCAGGGGTACACATCATACACATCAAATGCATCACCAGGAGTCAAACAATTGAGAAAGCAAAGGCCAGGGACTAAACCCCAAGGCTTGGAGTTTATTCCCAGACAACAGGGAGCCAACTTGCAGTTTTGCATGAGTATGCCCATTTCCAAGCACCACTTGCTGACTCAGAGAGTGACTGACTGTCCTATAAATTATCTGCATGACACTCCTGATCCATAGACGTCTCTCCTAAATGAACAGAGGTCTCACTCAGGGAAAGATCCTCCTGGTGGACAAGATCAGGGGGTGGGGTAAGATCTTTCCCATGCTGACTGTACTTGTAGAGATTCTCTTCAGTGTGCATCTTCTGGTGCTGAAGGAAGTTGGACCTCTGTATAAAGCCTTTCCCACAGTAGCTGCACACATAGGGCTTCTCTCCAGTATGTACAATTTGATGCAGCAACAGCTTAGAGCTCTGGATGAAGGCTTTCCCACAGTCTTTGCACTCAAAGGGTCTGTCTCCAGTATGGATCTTCTGATGCTCAGTGAGGTGGGCCTTCTGCAGAAAAGCCTTCCCACATTCTTTACATTCATACACCCGTTCACCAGTGTGGATTTTCTGGTGTCGTATAAGGTATGAACTCAGAAAGAACGCTTTCCCACATTCATTACACTCATAGAGTTTTTCCCCAGTATGGATTCTCTGATGCTGAGTGAAGTTGGATGTCTGACTGAAACGCTTCCCACACTCATTGCATACATAAGGCCGTTCTCCAGTATGAATTCTCTGATGCTGAATGAGCTTTGAGCTTCGAATAAAGGCCTTCCCACACTCATGACACTCAAAGGGTCTCTCTCCAGTGTGAATTCTCTGGTGCTCAATGAGGTCTGAACGGTGTCGGAAGGCTTTCCCACAGTCTCTGCATTCATACTGTTTGACTTCTGTGTGGATCTGGTAATGGCGAATAAGGCTGGAGCTCCGAATGAAAGACTTTCCACACTCGTTACACTCATAGGGTCTCTCTCCTGTGTGAATTCTTTGATGGCGAATGAGCAAGGAGCTCTGGCTGAAGCCTTTCCCACACTCTTTACACTCAAAAGGCCTCTCTCTGGTATGGACTCTCTGGTGCCGAAGCAGGTCTGAACTGTGACAAAACGCTTTTCCACACTGGGCACACTTGAAGGGCTTTTCTCCTGTATGTACATGCTGATGTTCAACTAGGTCTGCATAGTGAATGAGGTCTTTCCCACACACGTTACACACATACAGTCTGTCCCCGGTGTGGACTCTCTGATGTTCACTGAGGAGGGAGTTTTGACTGAAGCCTTTCCCACAATGATCACATTGATAAGGCTTCTCCCCTGGGTGAGAAATCTGATGTGGAACTACATTTGAATTAAAAGGGAAGCTCTTGCCACCAATACCACAAGAATGGCCCTCCCCTTCTATAAGCTCTCTCTGAAGTATAAGGAGGTTTGAGTTGAGAATAGGGTTTCTTCCTGACTTACTACACATCTGGGCTGTTTCTCCTGTTTGAATTTTCCAGTGGGTCACTGTCATCTGTTTGAAGCCCCCCTCCTGAGAGGGGGGACTCTCTAGGCCCTGCCTCTCTGGATTCCCCAACAGCTGCGCTAATCTGTCTTCATGAAATTCCCTGGGCTCAGAGGCGGAAGGTTCCAGCACTGTGAGTTTGTCTGACATCGTATTATGTGAATTTTCATCCCCAGAAATTCAGGCTTCAGGATCACCTTCTTGCCCCCAGCTCCTACAGTAGAATCTGAAATGAGAAAAGAAGATGGTCTTTCCCCTTTGTTAACAAGATGCTGCTGAACGGGCGGGAGGTATAAAATTAAACTCCCACACAGGTGAGAGAGGAAGCATTTCCTCTGCCCACACTTCTGGACCCTTCACTGTTACCAACTTTCACCTTGCCCCAACCAACCGTCCACATGGGAAGGTTTCCAGTGGCTCCAGCTCTCATCCGTCCAGCCCCAGCACAAACAGGCCTGTGCTGTTTAAACAACACTCCTCTACCTTGTGTCCTGCGAGGGAGACTGAGGGGCAGGGATAGAGCCAGGGCTCTACTTAAAAATCAAGACATCTGAGCCGGGCGGTGGTGGCGCACACCTTTAATCCCAGCACTCAGGAGGCAGAGCCCGGTGGATCTCTGCGAGTTCGAGGCCAGCCTGGTCTACAAAGCGAGTCCCAGGAAAGGCGCAAAGCTACACAGAGAAATCCTGTCTTGAAAAACCAAAAAAACAAACAAACAAAAAAAAAAAAAATCAAGACATCTAATTCCAAAGATCACTCCAATAGAACCTGTCACTCCTTCTGCCCTCCACCCCCATCTCTATCTTGTCCATACCCAGTGCGCACCCCATGGTCCACATGTCCATGGTCCACAGCCCTGCAGTCCCTTCAGGCTACCTGTAGCACACAGACGACAAGGGAGCCTTGCCGTGATCCCGGCAAGACCTGCTCTCTCTCTCCTGACCTATCTTACCAGAGAGATGGTATCTATGGCTGAAAACCTTTTTCAACCCGATGCCTTTTCAGGTTCTCAAACCTCAGGTGTCAACTTTCCGACTTCTGCTAAATCCGCCCCTCCTATAGTGAGAGCTCCATCAACTTGTATTTGTTCAGGCCAGAACTGTGCAATAATCCTTGGTTCCCTTTACTTTTATTCATTCCCTACATCCAATCCACCAGCAGACCTGTAGGCCAGGCCATTATATCGTACCCTGCTCCTGTCTCAAAACCCCAGTGCCATCCTCTACAATTATTTCGTAACACACAAGGATGACAATCTTCTAACCTGTCTCTATTACTTTCCTACAGAGCCAGCAGGATGATCTTTTAAACGCATAAATGGAATGATGACTTTCTATTTTAAAAGCTTCAAGGCTCTCCTACCTGGCTACCACCAGCATTCTTCTCCAAATAGGTAGATGAATTAGCAGAAACACTTGAGTCACTTACTAGGCATTTGAGGGCAACCTATCCCACCACCCCTTCTAAGAGCTAGCTGTTTCCAGGGGCCACGGCTCTACTCTGCTTCACACACGCTTTAAGCTTCAGAACCGCTGAGGCTACAGCAAGGCAGTGCCGCCAGCCTGCTGCACCAGAGTCTAACCGGCACTCAGCATAAGGAAGGCCAAGGCAACCCAGCCAACCACGGTGCTTAGAAAGGACCTGCTTCATCTCACACGCGTCACGACGGCTGCACTATTTACAGAGAAAAAACAGACTAGAAGAGAAAGTAGATCAGTCAGGAGCAGAGTGAAGGTTCAAATTCAGGTCGGTCACCCACAGAGTCCATGTCCTGCTTTGAAAGACTTTATCCTTTATAAATACATGTAGGTTTTACAGGGTGTTTTGTTTAGAGAGGGACAGGATCAGTACTATGAAGAAATCTGCATGTTGAAACTTAAATGTTTGAAGAAAGGGTAAAATGGACATGTTGTTTCTGGTTTTAGAAATCACTAATACCTTCTGACTTTTACTAGTTTACATAACATAGTAGCACTAAGGATATTACACATTATGTAGAACTCAGGGTATGTGCATGCTAGGCAAGTAAGTGCCCTACCAATGAGCTACACCTCAGCCTCTGATATACTTAAAATGACTATGCTACCTGGAAACAGGCCTGCATCTGTTTACCAGAACAGCTTAAAACCACGTGTGCCTCTTTGTGACTTTTATAAGTTCTTATTTTAAGGGAAGTTTCTTCAATTCAATATATCTGCTTGAAGAAATGTTCATCTCAAAATCAGCAAATTGAGGGCTAGGGAGACGGCTTAGCAGTTAAGCTACTCTTCTAGAGGACCTGAGCTCAATTCCCAGAACCCACAGAGCCGTTCACAACTCCAGTTCTAGGGGATCCAATGCCCACTGCTGGCTTCTGAGGGCACCGGGCACACACACGATGGACAGACTTATGTGCATTACAAAACACCCATATGCAGAAAATACAATAGGAGTAGCAAAGTCTGTATAGCTTCAGCCTTGGGAATAACCAGGCAAGGGGGCCTGCCTCCTCAGAAGCCTGTGCAGATGCCTCGGCAGATGTGCAGGTAGCTGAGTGCCATGTGTGCAAAGCAGGTGTGTACCATGTTCTCCTCACAATCATCCGTACGTTTACCAGAGGCAGCTGACTGAGGTTAAAAAGAACAGAGGCAGTGGCAGGCTGCCCTCTTAGGGCTCCTCTTCTGACCTCTGCCCCTGGTACCTGCACACAAGGTCTCCCATAGACAAACAAGCTTCTTTTCCTTACAAGCCCCGGAGCCTTTCAGCAGCCATCTTCCATAAGCCAAAAAAGCAGTTAGGAGGGCTCTCTGATTCACTTCAAGGGCACCATTCTGTTCTGGCCTGCTGCTTCTCTGACATACCGTCCACCTCCAGCTTAAATCATGAGTCTTGGGGGGGGGGGGGGAGTCCCAGCTCTGCTGCTCTCTATCATCCCCCAAATCATTCCAGAACCAGGAATCCACCTTCAAAGAACCAGGAGTGTCCAGAGGTAAATGTACCGGCTTGTGAAGTTTCTCTGTACCTCTCATGAAGTATTAAAACATATACAATGCCACAGCCAGGACAGGAACAAAGGTCTGCTCTCTGTTAATAGGGACTGAGGCACTGCCTTAAAACTCAGTGTGTAAGTTGGGCATGGTGGCGCACACCTTTAATACCAGCACTCCGGAGGCAGAGGCAGGCGTATCTCTGTGAGTTCGAGGCCAGCCTGCCTGGTCTAGAGAAACAGGCCTGCATCTGTTTACCAGAACAGCTTAAAACCACGTGTGCCTCTTTGTGACTTTTATAAGTTCTTATTTTAAGGGAAGTTTCTTCAATTCAATATATCTGCTTGAAGAAATGTTCATCTCAAAATCAGCAAATTGAGGGCTAGGGAGACGGCTTAGCAGTTAAGCTACTCTTCTAGAGAGCAAGTTCCAGGACAGCAAGGGCTACACACAGAAAACCTGTCTCAAAAAAAAAAAAAAAAAAAACCAAAAAACAACAACAAAACCCCTCCGTGTAGGGAGTGGGTGGGTCGGGGGGAGGAGGCAATTCTGATTTCTTCGTGAGCAGAAGACATTGATTTCTCTCATTCATTGGGATGGGTCTCAGAGGAAGGATGTCTGCTAGTGCACAGGGTGACTGTGAATACCAGTTCCTCCTGAAAACGGCTTGAGTTTAGAGCGTATTCCTGCTAAAACCCATGGGAAACTCAGGCCCTGGACTCCTGGACCACAGTGGGGCAGGATGCAAAGAGGGTTAAATGTCCCTAGCATCATCACAGAGATACCACAGACATTGACTCACACACTTCTGATTATGAAAACGCTTCGTGGAAAAGCTAAGGACGGTTTGGCTGATACCTGACCCCACCTGGGAATCCTCCTTCACGTCATTAGGAGCTAATTCGGCCCAACACGCACATTATCTACAACCCCCGAAGCGCTGGGATGCCTGCACCGCATCTCCTCCAGCAGAGGCGAAAGGCCTGAGGGAAGGCAGGAGGGCAAGATCCAAGCAAAAGAGCAGATGCGCGCACCTGCGCTCCATCACCTGAGCAGCCAGCCTGCAAGCAGCCAAGCGGAGGCCTGATCTGCAGGCGCCGAGGCTGAGTGTGCAACCCTTGAGGGCCTCCATGTCCTCGGGCGACCCGTCCAGGCATCTACCACACCCAGCTCGGCGAGAAAAGGACGCAGGGCTCGGCCCGAACGAAGCGAGGAGCTGCAGACACCTGCAAGAGCGAAGTGCAGCCGGGCCCGGAACACCAACCGAATCGCTGAACCCCGCTGGCCTGGAGGCAGCCCGCCCGCCTGCGTGATCCACGACGCCCCACTCACCCGGAGCCCGGCGGCAAGAGGACGGCGCGGAACCAAGCCAAGCCCCACCCGGCCGCGCAGCCCCGGGCGGCCACAAAGCCCACACCGCCGCTGCACGCCCCGGCCGGAAGCTGCCCGAGGCCCCGCCCGGAGGACATCCGTGGCCGCTCTAGGATGAGAGTGGGGACCGGAGCCGTCTCCGTGCCAGACTTCCGGCCCAGACCACTGCATCCAGCCAGTGGAATCAGTGCGCAGACGCGGGGGCAGCGAGGCATTGTTTGCCCACGTGGGTGTGGGGTTAGCCGCGATGCCCAGCAGTAGATGTCGCCAGACTTCCCTGGAAGAGCTGGGAAAGGCAGGCCCTCTAGAGAGAGTTTACTGAAGGTGTCTTGTTGGTTGTGGTGGTGTTGGTTCTGTTTGGGGCTTTTCGTTTTAGTTTTTGGGGTTTAAAACATCTTTATTATTACTATATGTGTGTACACGCGTGGTCAAAGGACAACTTTGAGCCACTGTGCCTGAGAAACATGATCTTAACTTTGTAATAAGCCACTGGAGACTCAGAGTAGTGAAATCAAGACAGGTGTAAGCCTGGAATGCCAAGCTCACTGATTGAGGCAGAGAGCTTTTTTACTCATTTGTTTGTTTGTTTATATTGTGAATGTTAGTGTTTTGCCTGTGTGTATGTCTGTGCACGTGTGTGTACTCGGTGCTCATGGAGGCCAGAAGAGGGCACCAGACCCCTGGAACTGGAGTTATAGATACAGTTATTAGCTGTCATGTGGGAGCTGGAAATCAAACCAAAGAGTAAGAGTAGAAAAAAAAAAAAAACACCAACAACAATTAGTAGCTGGGTACATGTCTTGGGTGGATCTCTGTGAGTTCGAAGACAGCCTGGTGTACATAGCTAGTTCTTGGCCAGCCAATGCTACATAGTGAGTGACATCCTGTCTCAAAAAAGGGGGGAGGGAGTGATGATTACAGTAAAGCTTTATCATTATTAAACAATATGGTAACAGTTCTAAGCTTGTGCCCAAGGACATTTTAGACAGGGTCTGGGACTAGATCTCTGCTCTAGAGATAACCACCTCTTAGCACATCTTGTCAGCCAGGCTCAAAGACAACCTCTGCTCTGGAGATGAGTACTCCAGAGGCTCCAGCAGGCTCAGCATAACCCCAGCTAAAACTTCTCTAAATTCCTAGAGAATTTAGGTAAGAGCTTTCCACTCTGGAGGCATCTTTTCCACACAGCAAGGTCTTTGGAAGACCTGCATGTCATTCCTTTGAAATATAATCGGCAAAGATGGGGCCGGGTGGCGGTGGTGGTGCACGCCTTTAATCCCAGCACTCAAGAGGCAGAGCCAGGAGGATCTCTGTGAGTTCGAGGCCATCCTGGTCTACAGAGTGAGTTCCAGGAAAGGCGCAAAGCTACCCAGAGAAACCCTGTCTTGAAAAAAACAAAACCAAAACCAAAAAAAAAAAAAAAAAAAAAGCAAAGATGGGTTCCAAGTCTGTCAGTGTGGGAAGTTGCCCATGCTCCAATAAATGACCTTATACCCAAGCTCATGCAAGCAACCCTAAATATATTCAATGAGTCATTAAAAAGACATAAAATTAGGGGGAGGTGCTTGCTCAGAAGAAGGAGCTCAGAGGGAGTAGGGGGATAGAAGCTAATGAATGTGAATTAAATAAAAATACATTGTATCCATGCATTAAATTGTCAAGCAGTAAATAAAAGATGTTGAAACATTCCACTCCAGAGAGAGGCTCCTTAAGACTTGGGAAGCTGGGGCTGGAGAGATGGCTCAGAGGTTAAGAGCACTGACTGCTCTTCTAGAGGTCCTGAGTTCAATACCCAGCAACCACATGGTGACTCACAACCATCTGTAACGAGATCTGGTGCCCTCTTCTGGCCTGCAGGCACACATGCTGTATACATAATAAAAATAAATCTTTAAAAAAAAAAAAAAAAAAAAAAAAAAAAAGACTTGGGAAGCAAACAACACACGGGTCTCAAGACGTCCCTAAAACCAGATTCCTACGATTTTGTAAGCAGTGAGGACAGCCGCGGAGGAAGACCTGCCCAGCTAACTGCACGTCGTCGTGCAGAGAGCTCCAGGATCTCAGCTTTCCCGAGTCGTTACTCCTTCTAGGGTGGGCTTGTTAGTGATGTACCTCCTGATAGTAACCCCAGCAAACTCATTGGTTCGCACAGGTGAAGGGGTGTCACAGGACAGTTACCAATTTGACTCCTACCCATTCCTATCAGCTTTCTGCTTCTGTCTCTCCAGTCAACTTGGAACTCTTCGAACTCTGCCGAATCTTCTGTAACCCACTGTAGACATTCTGTAGCCTACATGTAGATGGATAGATTCGCTGTGTGCTGTATAATCTGTAACCTCAAAGTTAATAATCACAGTTAAGATTGGAATAAAGTAACCTGTGTTTGCTTCAGCTCCGTATCAATGAAAGCAGGACTACTTGGTATATTGCTTGGTATATACTTGGTGAAATCATTATGCCTTTTGAATTTATTATTGTCCAATTGTGGTGGCCAACAGAGGATTCCTAGTGAGACTGTACTCAAGGTCAGAGAATCTGAGCTTGCTTTACCCAGCAGGGCTGCGTAATAGCATGATTTGGCCAGGGGCGTGGTTACCAGGTGTTTGGAAAGGTCTACATTTGGCTGTATGGTGTGATTTGATCTTACAAAGGGGAGTCCTTTTGCCTCTTCCCTTGGCATATTATAAAAAGCCCTTTTGAATAAAGCTCTGGGTGGCTGGGTATGAACCCAGGGCCCTCCCAAAGCTATCCTGTGTCTCTGTCTTCTCATCATCATGTAGGTCTATCTTTTTACCTAATATTTTCTCATTCCTCTCTCCTCCACCTAAGAACCCTTCAAAAGGTAGAAGCAGGTCGGAGCTGGACTCCGGCAGACTCCCATGTCCAATAAATTCTGATATTGTGGAAAAACACAAGTGTACCAGTTCTCTCCTTCCACAATTTATTTGGGTTTGGAGAATTGAACTCCAGTGATCGGTTTGTTGGCAAATACCCCTCCCTGCCTATTTGAGCCATATCCTCAGCCTGTGTCTGTATTTTTAAATCAACACTACCAGCCCAGTTGATATAATTAGCTAAATTCAATCATCTGTTGTACTACTGACATCCTTATAACCCATATGTCTAATATATATACATAACCTATATATAGATACAGAGATAGATGATTGTGTGTGTGTGTGTGTGTGTGTGTGTGTGTGTGTAGTTTTTCGAGACAGAGTTTCTATGTGTAATAGCCTTGACAACATCTTAAAGTGTTTCATAATGAAAATTTAAAATATCAGCCAAGTGGGCCCGTGCCGGAATTGTAGGGGGGTTTTGTTTGTTTTTTATTGGTTTTGGTTTTTCTAAACAGAGTTTCTCTGTGTAGCCTTGTCCTGGAACTCGCTCTGTAGACCAGGCTGGCCTCAAACTCACAGATATTCACCTGCCTTTACCTCCCAAGTACTGGGACTAAAGGCGTGCACCACTACTGCCTGGTGGTAGGTGAGATTTTATTCACTGCTTTAAAATACTGTATTTAGGTAAAGAAATCAGAGTCTTTTGTGTATTCTTGGCTGAAACACAACTGACCACCTAGAGGCTTGGTGCTGGCTCAGCCAGAAGGAGGCCCGTGGCCACTCAAAGACATGCAGAAGGGCCAAGGGGAAGTGATTCTTCGTTGCAGGATAAGAAATAAGAGATTCCTGGCCAGCCCACTACTGCGTTGCGGGACCTGTGTCCGTACAATCACTAGAGTGTTTGGGTGAGCAGCTTGTCTTCAGTTTGCAGTTCAGGAGACCAAAGCGGTAGCGCCCACGCCACGCCCACAGAACTCTATACGAGGCCCGGAATACATTTCCCAGAAGCGCCCGCGCCGCACTGGTGCATGACGAAGACTTCATTTCCCAGAGCTCCCCGGGAGGGCCTCGCCCCCCTCCACCTGGACAGCGAGTAGCTGGAGAATTGTGCACCGGAAGCAGCTCTCGAACTGGTGGAACCCGGCGCAGGTGAGGCTCTCCGGTGGGCGCTGCGCAGCAAACTAGGGAGCCCAGAGGCTGGTTGGTCGAGGCCGTAAGAGTGCGTCTGGCATCGGAGGTCTCCGTGGGCTTGGGGTGAGTGGCCTGCGAGGACCATGGGGTGTAGGGGCCGGGCCCTTGCTCATCTGGATGATGGTGGAGCCATGAGGCTGGGCCAGAGCCATCCTGCCGGGACTGTAGCATATTTTTAGCGACCCGAGGCCTTCCAGCGGTGCACCCTGCCCTAGAAGAACTAGGCCTTCCTATGCCATAGGCTATTAGCTCCGCACTAGTGGATACGGGGCTCCAAGCAGAGTACCGCCCCTTGTCTATCTCTAGAGGGTGAGAGTTGGCGTGAAGCAGCCGCTACCTACGATCTGTTCCTGGAACTGCCAGCCCTAATTTTTCAGTCGTAGGGATGGGATGTACCTTTCCTCTGCCTAGTAGGGTCATGGGTTGGGACCAAGCTGCTTTGGTTTGGATAGCAGCCAGCAGGAACCTGTGGCGGCCAGGGCAAAGGACTTCTTAGGGGAACAGAGCTGGGTGTGTCTGGCAGCCCGTTGTCACTCCTCCTTGAGAGTTTGATTCTGTGCCTGTTGCCCATTGGCTCAAGAGAATGGGGTGGGGGAGAACAGCACATCCTATCTCCTCCTTAGCTGACAACGTTTGGCCCTCCAGGTGCAGCCACCATGGGTGAGCCCCAGGGATCCATGAGGATCCTAGTGACAGGGGGCTCTGGACTGGTGGGCAGAGCCATCCAGAAGGTGGTCGCAGATGGGGCCGGCTTACCTGGAGAGGAATGGGTGTTTGTCTCCTCCAAAGATGCAGATCTGACGTGAGTTGGGGCCATATTCAGACCCAACCCCTCGTCCTGGGTCCCTCTCCAAGCTGAAGAGTGCCCTGCTGGGTCTTCCTGAGCCTAGCAGTAGCCCTCCCTGAGTCTGGGTCCCTCCCTGCCAGGTGACTGATCTGGCTCTGGTTGCTGGCTGTGCTAAGTAAACATCCTCCTATAGTTCCGGGTGCCCACACCCACTACCTGCTAAAGCTCTGAACTTGGCTACTTGTCC